GCTCCCTGTCTGCCCGTGCCCACGCCGGCAGGTGCCCACGCTCGCAGTCACGAGCCTTTGATTGCCCCGATGCATTGGCAAGCACCACAGCACCCACCCCATGCCATCTTTCAACCCAGAACTGGAGGGCAGGTCTGGGAGCACCCCCCAAAAGGCACCTCCGCTTCCCCCCGCACCCCTGGCCCGAAGGGGGAGCCCAGAAGGGGTTACCTGGGTGTTGTAGTCAAACTCATTCCAGTCCCCGGGGCTCTTGCAGCTCATGGAGGTGTGATACAGCAGCAGCACGGCCACCTGAAACGAGGCAGGTAAGCGTCACCGACCCCGGGTCGGTCACGGGCGCATCGGTGCCGGCAGGGAACCAAGCGTGCCCCGTGGTTACCTTGGCCAACGCCAGCTCCTCTCCCTCCAGGAGTTTCTGTGCCGAGACCAGGTTCTCCGCGGCCGATTTGTGCTTGCAGTGCTCTGCAACGTCAAGTGGGATTCCCAGTCAGGCAGGAGCCCCTGCTGCTGGGCATGCTGCCTGCCGGCCCCGGCATGTGCCCGTCCCCCGAGGTGACGGGCTGGGGGCACCGTGGTGGTCCCCAAGGAGAAGGGGCACAGGCTCAGCCTCTGCCATTAACCCTGATGGGCTTTTTTTGCCCCCTCCCTGGCAACTTCCCCTGCCGTCCGCATCTCTCTGCACCCTTTGCTCCTCCACCAGCAGCACAAGCCGCGACCCATCTACGGAGGGTGGGATAGGAGGTGGGATACAGCATCTCCCCTTCCAGGAGAGGCCGAGCAAAAGTGCAAGAGAATTCCCATTTCCCCTCCCAGGATTCCTGCTCGGGTAAAGGTTTTCCAGTAGGATTTGAGCAGCTTGAGGCCAGGCTCTGGACTAGGAAGGTCGCCCCAAAGCAGCGTCACCGGAGGAGCCAGCAGCACCCTGCCCTTCACCTCCCAGCCCTCCTTCACACCAAGCCTGGGCTGTGGCAAGGATTTCCACCGGGAAGCTTTCCTTCCCGCCCACTGCCGCAGGGTCGGGGCAGCTCTGCCTGCACCTCGTGAAGCTGCTGATGCA